TGACATTGATGCACTTTCCGTCACTTGCCCCACGGGAAAATGTGCACGCACTCAATAAAGTACTGTGAACTGTCGGCATTAGTGAAGGGAAGCGCTCAACTTACGCGTTGTCGTCGACGCATCCAACACATCATGCCCGCCCCATCGACGCGTCGGTGCAAGCACGTGCAACTATCGACGCGCCCTGCCGCGTCTCTACGCGTAAGAGCAGACGCGGAGCGTCTATCCGCGTCTCTGCGCGTCCCTCAAGACTCTGCGCGTAAGCCTACGCGTAAATTTACAGGCCCCCCGTCCTCGGTTGCATCACATCATACTACCAGCCAGCAGCATGCGGACTCGACGTTTGCTAAAATATTAATGTGGTCTAAGTCAAGTATCTTCATGTATTCAAGACATGGCGTAGGTATGTGCATCTGATCAGCTTTAAGGATCTAATATACGCTCTGGGTGGCAATTGTTGTCTCTACAAACGATACTCAAGAAGATCGTCGCAGCACGGACTTCCTGGTCTATAGCCACGTGCTTCGTGTCGGCCACTGCCGCAAACAACAGAGATTAAAGACGTGGACGCGTAATTCTTCTACTTACGAGGAACCAAATCTCTGTCCCGTGTGCCGTTGGGAGACTAAACTCTTCCTTCCTTCAAGTCAAACAGAATTGCATACCTGCTCGTTCAGCCTGGTGATTCGAGATGAACTTCAAGCGCGGGTTCTTGCTGGACAAGCCGAAGAAAAACGCTGAGATAAAGCGTGCGCCACAGGCAGCCACAACCGTCCCAATCGTCAAGATACCCTCGTATACTTTCGATCCTCCTCCTCCTCCCGCCATTCTTCCAGACACACAACGCATTCCTGGGTCTAGAGATGCACAGATGAATCTCTGGATTGCCTCTATTCCCATGCCCAATGAACGATTTCCCCCTGAACCCTACTCTATTTGCATCCTATGGGACAAGCAAAAGGACGCGATGTATTCGCGTCCCGGCTTTCCCAGCAGGCTCATTTCGCCTCCTCGCAATGTGTACGAGATTAGGCCCTCACCCATCGCTGGCCTTGGCATGTTCGCCACAGAGGATATCGCTGTCGGTGACCTAACATACGCGAGAGGCCAGCGTTCGTTATGCTAATGGCTATCCCTGCCGAGGGTCAGAATGTGGTTCAGATGGCAATCGACAAGCTACCTCCATGGAGCAAAGAGAAATTCTTCTCCCTCGCAGACTCACAATCCAGTCGTCCTTCCCTATTGGGCATTATCAACACGAATGCTATCCCGTTAGGAGCGTTACCGGGTTTTTCAGGAATGGTTGGTGGGGTTTGCCTTGAATTGTCTCGCATCAATCACAGGTATGTATACCATAATATCCCAGTAAAGCCCTTGCTGATTGTATGATACTTGCAGCTGCTGCCCCAATGTCACTCACCGCTTTGACCTTCAGTCGTTCAGTGTCGAAGCTCGCGCCATTCGCCCAATCGCACGCGGCACGGAGTTGTTTATCCCTTATGTCCATATCTTGGACAGTCGCGCAGAACGTCAAAAGGATCTTCGGTCGAAGTACGGCTTCACGTGTACATGTCCCTCATGCTCCCTTCCCACCGCAGAGGAACGGAAACGTTCGGATACCGTCCGCGGTTTACTACAGAATGCCGCTAAGATGGAACGAGTCCGTGGTGATGCAGAGTTGCGCAAATAGTTGCAGGATCCTACCATGCCCGATGACAAGATTATACAGCACTGTTTGACTATGAGGAAAATGCAATTGATGACAATGTTTGGCCGGTATATCTCCAGCGATTGGTGAAGGCTTATTGTGCTTTGGGAGACGAAGAGAACGCGAAGACATATGCACAAAGGACTGCCAAGCTGACCTTGGCGTTCAGAGGAAGTGATGAAGGATGGGATGCTGTTGCGAATAATCCAAAGAATACAGATTGGTGGGGCTTGAGAGCAAAGGCAGACGCACGGTAGGGCTAGGGTCATTTTGGGAGATGGTGCTCGTCCTTGACTCCAGTAGCGTTCAGAAACGTAACGTCGTTCTTTTGATCACCCATCTGTAGTCGTAAGAGTGTATTTGTAGAGTGTACCATGCGATTTGTTACAATATATGTTCGCCGTGTTGAGTGGTATATGGCGATTCAAAGCAAGTGTTCGGTCCAGCACTGTCCATCTCAGTCAACAAGAAAAAGCCACCTGATACCCCCACACATTCATCACTAGAGCAACAACTCAAACAATCTAGTCTTCTGTTACGACCGTCACCGTAGTCACTGTGATGTGCCCAAAGCCCGTGAAGTTTCTCAGACCTGGGATTAGAATCGCGTCTGTTAATATGATGTTTGCTGTACTACTGGTGGGTGCGAGCGATAGCTCACCAGATCTTATTTCTTCTTCGGCACGTTCTACTTCAATATCTGACTCGGAATTCGTGTCGATGGTGCTCGACTCAACATCCTGACATCATAACAATGCTGTAAAACGAAGCTACACTATCACAATCGCGACTATGCTCACCACTTCACTGGAGATCCTTGAGCCGTTCTCCTCCGAGTCCAATTTGCGGTCTGTTCGCGTCCTTGTACTATCGTCCTCAACATGATTAGTACTCGTGTTGTCATTCGTATGCTCTGGCGACATTTCCAGACGAATAGCGATGAAGTCTTAGTTAGTAAGAGGGTACCAGCAGATCGCCGTCGAGGGGGAGTTAAAAGAAGCTGAGTGTGGGTATAAAGAAGTCCAGCCTGGGTATGCTTTCGTGAGAGGGCGTTGATCATCATTGCTTACTGACCGACATGCTTTTTATACAGATCACCCTGACCCTGAACACTTACATCAATCTTCGTACAGACAACGTCTGTACTGGGATTCCGAAATTCGAGTACGCGCCTTGACTCGCGAGCTGGTATCCTCCGATAGGTCGTATTTGACAAGGGGTAAATGTCCCTTTGTTCATATGGTCATCATCGGAATGCGCAGTGTCGTGAAAGGTGATGTATGTGACGGCAGCGGGCGCGCGACAATCGCAGTCACTGGCATTTCGGAAATAGGGACCGAATCGAGAGAGACTTCGGTTTACGCTACGTACGTACTGTACTTCCATATGGGCCCGTTGAAATTTGAAGACTTCTAACTATCTTCTATGGCTTTGCGACGCGTCAACACAAAGCAGGCCGGCAGTGACTCACCCGTGTACATCAGTCTCCGAGTCAGACTCTAATTCATCGAAGGATTGCGGTAACTTGATACATACACCGCACTGCGCAGACTTGTCACCCACTGGCAGACGTAGACATACAGGTAACAGGTTTTCCTCGAGCCTCGGACGACAGTGTAGACGCGGCATTTGTATCGCGGCGCATCTTCCGAACATCCCTCACGTCGACCTAGTCTCCTCCGCAGACCTTACTGGATGGTGCAGAGAGGATACACATGTGTGGGAGATAGAGCTTACGAGGCCGGGATAGCTCAGCTGGGAGAGCAACAGACTGAAGAACTTGTTCACGATTATTCTGGAGGTCCCGTGTTCAATCCACGGTCCTGGCATATCTTTTTGGCTCAATGATCTCGCAGACGGCTACACAATTGCGTACCATTTTGCACTTTGCGGTATTCCATGGTGGAGTTTTGAAGTAGTACCCACGAGAGCGCTCACTTGTGAGCTCGCATCAACGGAAGGGAGTGCTGTAAATAACTGACAAAAAGAAACTCTCTGCCTGGGAGTCGAACCCAGCTTTCGCGCGTCCGCTCTAAAAGCAATGACAGGCGCGTGTACTAACCGATATACTAGCAGAGACGTTGAGGGTGCACCGACCATGATGGCATGGATCAATCATGTAAATGTATATCCTGCATCATCCTGCACCATTGTTTTCTCTGCCCAGTAATACTTGTCAAAGATATTTTCAATACTTTTGTACAAGTTCTATGACAGCAACTTCAAACGACTCCACAAAAAAGATTTTGAAAAAGTAAAACTCTCTGCCTGGGAGTCGAACCCAGCTTTCGCGCGTCCGTCTTAACTGAATGACAGGCGCGTGTACTAACCGATATACTAGCAGAGATGTTGATCGCATTCGAATGAGCGAATAAGTATATCTTGATGAAGATGCACCTACGTAAGTCACTCGCGCTATTTTATCCCCACCTGCTTAGGCCTGATGGCATCGAAAGTACTCCGACTACCGCAATCACAAATTGATGAAGAAACTTGCTGGAGGGATACTGGAGGGAATCCACAGGACTCTGGTCATGCATACAAGGCCACAGACTGACCCACGATGCTGTCACAGGTGACTCTCCGAGTCGCATCGCCGTCGGAAACACTCAGTGGCCCTCGCATAGTCCTCGAATAAGTCCTCGATCTGACAATGACTATGTCTCGTGAGGTGTGAAAGTATCCGTCTAGCTTACAGCACGACCCTATGAACATTGAAGATCTCTGCTTTCGCTCACTTCCGATCTGAGTCTTTACAACCTGATTTCATCCCCATCGTGACGCGCTACATTTCAAACTAAACATGCATACCAAGTTAGAAGCGATAGCGACGTACGCGAGTATAAGAGAAAAGCGGGGTGAAATGTAATGCTGCATGCAAGCGCGATGCCGCACGTGATCGCGTACCACACGGCCAACGTTGAAGCCCAATGCAACGCGCCTCGAGGTATGCCATTTCCACCGCTGAAACTGTAAGTACGGCCGAAAGCATCTACAATTGGTGCTGCTACAGTGGAAAATTGTTATTTTAGCAACTATTCAACAAAAGGTTTCTCTCTGCCTGGGAGTCGAACCCAGCTTTCGCGCGACCACCATGAAGCAATGACAGGCGCGTGTACTAACCGATATACTAGCAGAGATATTTTTCACATCACTAACAAAGAATGTAACCAGCGTAAGTTTGAGTTCCCCGTTTTCGACCCGAATATGATTATAATACTTATGTAGCAGATACTGGATTCTATCCGGACAAAGATCCAGACAAGTAAAAGAAATCTGAGTTCTCATACCAGCACATCCTCAACAGGCGGAGACTCAACCTCTCTTGTCTTCCCTTCACCAACAGCCCCGTGCACCTCATCACCTGCCACCTCCCTCACAATCGCCGCCTTCTCATCCAACTCCAACCCCAGTCCCTCCGGCTTCTCACCTTTCTCGTCCAAGCTCCCACCACCAACGTCGTCGTCATCGTCAACGGGTTCTTCGATAATGGCGCCTTGTTCACGGATGACGAGCCATGTCTTTTCTGCTACTGCTAGGTTTTCGCTTTGAGCTATGGCTTTGATGATTTGGCCTTCGTGTTTGGCGTGCAGGGTTCGTCGGAAGGAACGTTCGAGGAAGTTGGAGAGGACTTTGAGGGGCCATTCGGGTGGTATGAGTGAGATGACCTAGAGAAGGTCACTATATCAGCATGATGCTACAGGTAGTTGGGTCATGACTTGCATCGGTAACGTCAAGGTTGATGGCTTGCGCGCTGAGAAGCTTGGCAGTTCTATCCGCCATTGCCTCCCTATGCAATGTCAGTGATTTCCCATCACTAAACAGACTGGATGCATAACTTACCCTCCACTCATATAAACCTCCAACAAAATCCTCGTCAACTCCTTCTTTCTATCCTCATTCAAACTCCTCTCCCTCTTCACAACCACCGGCGCTGACCCAGCTTTAGCTTTCCCAGCAGCACCCGGAGGCAAGAACAACGCAGACCAAGGTTGCAACCCAAACCTTTCACCGAGGTTTTGAGCCGTTTTGACTGGAACGACTTCGCCACCAAGTGCACAGTATGCTTCGGCTGAAGCGGAGTCGTGGAGGAAGTGGACTAGGTGGGAAAGGGCAGAGCGGTCTTGAAGACACTAATAATTTCGGGGTTTCAAAGGTTAGTCGTATGTATAGTGGGAAGGTCGTTGAGGATAGTAGTACCTTGCCCTCTACGATAGCTAACTCCAGTGCGAGCATTTTCTCGTGCTCTGCCAATCGCTGTCGTACCGATTCAGGATCGTACGAGTCAGAACCTTGTAGGAACAGAATCGCTTTCAGACGTATTCGCTTCGAGTCCGAGTCGGGTGTTGTCGATGCGAAGTATGAGAGGAAGGGAACTTCGGATCGACTCGAGGTGTAGGATGAAGCTGTAGAGGTATGTTAATCAGTGTCGTCGGCCGAAATTGAGCAAAACACGAATCGTACTTTTTGCACGCCAGAGCTTCGATATTGACTCATCAGACAAACACGAGACGAGCTGGTCGGTGTACATATCGGCCAATTGCTGATGTAGGTTGGCGTTCTACGAAGGCATCATAAGTCTTGTTTGTGGCTTGATACATTGAGACGTAGAGTACATACGTTACTTCGCTTCTGTAGAACGAGGAACTCAAGGAATTGAACGCCAACGGAAGGGTTGGCCTCCTGAAGTTGCTTAAGTAATGCCAAATCGTCCTCCTGTTTCGTCCCGCGTCTTGAGCTGAAGGTAGTGAGAAGCTTCATATATTTTAGCTTTTCAAAAATGGCCACTTGAGATGGGAGATTCAAGATACCTTCAGGGCACGCTCGGGATCATACTGTGTTAACCAGACGCCCCAATGGTAGACAAGGTGCCGATCTCGCTTGTCTCCAAGGAAGGCGAACATACTCGATAGCGGGTCCTGAACCTCGCTATCCGTCAATTCCCCAGTTACGAGACTGATGGGTGTAAGCTACATTGACAATCAAGGAATGTTCAGCATCGAGACTCACCGAGACCAAGTCTCAAGTAACTTCGAGTCTTCTCCGCGTTGTCGGTACAGCTGACATAGAGCATTGATGTAGTGGGATTCAATGAGTTCTGGTTCTATTTCTTCAACGTTGATCTCGTTGGGTTCGTTGACAAGTTTGTAGATTTCTTCTTTCTCTTCCGCGTCAACATGGAGTTTGACAAGTACCGTCTCTACAATCTTACTCAATATAAGCCAAGAAGAAACATATGACTGCGAAAGAGAGAAAATCACCTCCAATATCGACTTGGTCTCTGGCGAACCTCCGGGGTCGTCCATTCTCCGTTTTCTTCTCCATTTCCGGAGAAACGCTTTCAGCATGTCCGAAGCAGCGAGCTTCAGTATTCCACGGAGCTCCACAGTGGGAGAGGCCAATCGAGTACTAGGAGCCAGATGAGGAGAATAATTCCTGACTAGATTGGCCGCAACTGTAATCAGTCCCGAAAAGCATAGCGGGCGTGAGAAGACGTCAACGAGTGGAGGTCGATGGAAGAATGAAACGGAAAGGCAGGATAGAGATACATGAGAGTGGGCGCGTCGTCGGAGGTGGGGGTATGTAATGATTGTGCGGGCGACTCACTTATCTCCTCAATTGAGCCTTCTGGGGGCATTCGCTCGGCGACGCCAGAAAATAGCTCAACGGCGTCATCCTCTTTGTATAGAGAGCCGTATAGTTCAGGGTAATAACTGATGAGAGCACGGGGGTCGAGTTCCCCGTCAAACAAATGTCGACCTGCGTCATCGAAGAGGGTTTCGGTCAAGCATTGGAATCCTATGCGTTGATAGACATAGCGGAGCTCGTCAGCCTACAGAAGGGAACCGAAAGAGTATGAGAGTGATTCATCACATCATATGACGAAAAAGCGAAGCAGAGAAATGCACGAGTGTCGCGTGAAATTACGACAATACGTACCTCGTCGTCGCTCACCGTTAGCTGTGCTTGGACTTTCTGACGGTGTTTGTCCGCCATATCGACTGCATCTTCAATCCGATGTGCGTCGAGAAGCGCCTCGATTTGGGATATTAGGGTAGAAGGGAGGAGCGAGTATACTCCGTTTGAGCCCAGAACGAGCAGGCTCGACCTGGGGAATGTCGCACCCCTCGCGGTCATGTTGTTAGTGATACAAATCCGGATACCTCAGTGCATGCAATGCTCGTGAAATAACGACAAATTCGTCCGGTATGTTCTGTTGTTCCAAGTTGTTTCGGTAGAAAGAGAGAGAAATTAAAGCAAGAATGCCTGCCGAGTGCAATTGCTTGCTCGCCACGCGGCGACGGTAGAGCACCCGTGCGAAACTCCTTCCGAAAGAAACCCGAGGAAACAATTACGTTTTGATTCACATGCTGTAATAGGGTTTAGACGCCAAAAACCATATCGCAAAGAATCACATGCGAGGCGACCTCAATTCAGTGGCTGCAACTATAAATTGCATCCTCGAGGCCCATCTTATCTTCCAGACGTTTGTTTGCTTTTTGTCCTTGTTCTTCCACCATCCTGAACTTCTTCAACAATGGCGACAGAAACGCAGTCGCAAAATACCCCCGAGCTCACCATTCTCAATAGGGTCGCGTCGATACCGCTCGTGGCGTACTCAATCGACGCGGTCGACTCGACGCTTTCCACCAACGCGTACACCCGCTCGCCATACGCACAGGCAAAGGGCCTTGCTGGGGCGGCTCTTGGGTACGCCGAACCCATTCAAAAGCATCTCGCGCCCTTGATTGTTCGCGCAGACTCGTTGGCGAACAAGGGTTTGGACGCGGTCGAGTCGCGCTACCCCTATCCGTTCAAGACACCTACG